TCATGGTGTGGTTGAGGTTGTGCGATCCCTTATGCGACTTGCGGAGCGAGGCGAAGAGAGGCAAAGGGCGAGAACCAGAGTAACTACAGATATCGCCTGACCGCGCGAAAACAAGTTCCGAATAACCGAGAGAGAAACCGAAGCGTGAGAACTGATAGGTCACAGCTATGGAAAGTCCTTCTCCACCGGCCGGCGAGCCGCCTCGCCACAAGAACGAAAAAATAGTGCAGAACAGCACCAACGCCACAAACCGGAAAAGAGCCAGAGCCTTTCATAGAAAGAGCGGCTAATTAACCTGCCCAACCGCCTGTTAACACCAGCAGGAAAAGGCCTCCGTCCCGAAAACGAACATGGGGGAACTCTCTTGATAGATGGCCTACGCCGACCTTGAAAGCGACTGCAAAAAACTCATAGACGTGAAGGACGGGCCACGAAAGACAAGCGCGAGCACGCTCCATAATTCTCCAAAGAAGACCAAGGCCTTGTCCACGACCAAAGGCAGCTTGACAACCAAAGTCATGACGCGCACACAGGCGCACAGCGATGGGGCCTAGGCGCACGCGGGCGCACAGCAGGTGAGGCCGAAGCGCACGCGGGCGCACAGTGATGGGCCAAGGCGCACGCGGGCGCACTAGACGAGGCCAACGCGCACGCGGGCGCACTAGACGGGGCCAACACGCACGCGGGCGCACAACCAAATGGCCAAGGCGCACACGGGCGCACTAGATGAGGTCAACGCGCACGCGGGCGCACAACCAGACAGCCAAAGCGAATGAAGGTGCAGCTCGCAGAAAGGCGAAAACCAAAGGCGCGCAGGCCTGTGTACAACGCTCAACGCCGCCGCTTTTCATCTCTCGCATTACGGCCGGCATCATCTTCGCGCCTCCTGTAGTCATACCCAGAGCCGCCGCGCGCTCCACCCCCTCGCGAGCCGCCTGCTCCATCACCGCCAGTGCCGTGACCGCCTGCTCCCCCACCTGAGCGGCTGGCAGCGCGCTTTAGCGCTTGGTCCTTGACGCCGTCTACCAATTTCCGGGGTTTTGTCTTGTCCCGGAACTTGTCCTCATTACACAAAATGCTGAAGCAGATGTCGGCGGCAGCGAGGCCAATGCGCGGCTCGGCCGCCAAGGTGTTAGTGACCGCCATGCCGACCTCCGCACGGCGAATCAAAGGCTTGAGAACCTTAGTGGCGCCCTTGACATTCGGCGGATCCTCTGCCAGCAATGCTAAAGCCAGTTTGCCCTGCGTGGCAAAACCATGGAAAATTTGCTTGCGGAAGCCCGACGGGTCAGTGGGCTGTTGGGCCTCGATTCGGTCCACCAGGCGCCGCAATCTCTCCGGAGCTTCGTCGTCGCTGCTTGATGATGAACTCGAGCTGGAGCTTTCTTCCTTCTTCTTCCTTTTCTCTTTGCTCCTTTTAGCCTTGTCGGGTGCGACCGATGCCGCCGCGGCCTGGGCTGGCGACAGCACAGTGGCTGCCGGATTTTGACCCGCTGTTATTACCTTGGCCATGGAGGCCAAAAGCTGGCTCTGCTCTGCCATCTGTTGCTGCAATGGAGTTATGTTCTGCTGGATGGCGGTGGTAACCACCGCCGCTCCAGTGGCGGGGCTGCCGGCCGGTGGAGAAGTTCGGTTGGGGAGTGGTGGGAAAGTGATGCCACCAGCCTCGCTGGTGGAGGGACCCGCAAAGCCGGTGGTGGCGTTGATCACTAAATTGGCGCCATCTTGGGCGGCCGTACCTTGCCTTTGCTGCACTTGCTCGTTGTTCAACGCTGACATTAGAAAACGAAAGACTACAGGAACTTGAAACAGATGGTGATGACTAGGTGGGGCTTCGATGGCGAGCACGATGCTCTATCCGAGATTGAACAGCAAAAAGAGAAAGCTGTCAGCTACAAGCTGAAGCTCTACTGAGTGAAAGGCAGAATGCCTGAAACGAAAGAGCTGAAGCAATTAGTACTCGCCATTCCAATACGGTTGTACGACAGTCGCACAGAACCAGACTTAGAGACTCCGATCGCTTCGCTCCGTCGTATCTAAGTCAACAATAAGATGTGTGTTCCTTTACAATTTCATGACAAATGACCTACCTGCATACTGCACCCTCGCTTTTCCTTGATGTACAGCTGCGGCAAGTACTGTCCCGCCGCGTTACTTCTTGGAGTTGAATGCGTTGTGTCCTTACAGTACGTAGTGAAACACAAAACCCTAAGCAGCTCTCATACAAACGAGATGCAAGGTATGACTGCCCAATAAAACCTCCGTACAACTCCAAAATGCGAAGGCCATGGCCAGCCGCGCAAAGGCCAGCTCTCAAAAGCCGGGAACATGGGCTTTACACGTATGTGCGTAAAATTCGCGGGCGGGCGATATTCAATCGGGAGCTGAAGCGGCTTGATTATCATGCCCAAAATGTGAAGCCCTCGGCAGGCCGTGCAAAGGGACTGACCTTCAAGAGCCAGAAGTGCTGGTGGGAGAAGCATTATGACTGTGGAAAATTCGCGGGCGGGCGTTGACGGTCGCTGGATTGGCTGTTGTGGGGACCGGCTAGCGGGTTGCCCCCGCTACTGCCAAACACCACAGCGTGCGGGCGCGTCTGCATGTCCCTTGGCATGCAGGAGTCCACAAACTATTGAACTGCTTAATAATGGCTGCTTAAAAATTGCGAAAACAAAAACAAAAAGAAAGAAGAAAGACAATTAAAAAAGATAAAGATAAACACCAATATAAAGGATAGCTCGCGGTGACATGGGGAGAAAGCGTCAATGTTAAGAAAGGAAACTTTCAATGGAGAATAGAATATTCGCTTGCGTGGCTTGCTGAGAGCAGCCTTCATAAGCAGCGGGCATGGGCAACGTACACCGCATTGCCAGCAAGGGTGGTGCTGGCCTTCATCCGACCCAAGAGGAGCCCTACAAGGTCACGCAATTCCTTGTATAATCACCAAGCGGCATTACACCTGGGCACATGCAGCTTCGGTCGGCACGGCAGGCCAACGATAGCAGTGTGCTGTTATCAAGACGCGCAACCATTGCTGCATGTTGCTGGCATGGTTGTAGGTGTGTTTCACAGCACTCTCATGCAGCGTGCATTGCACTTCTGAAAGGAAAGACTGGTATCAAAGGCTTGCAGTCACCACAGCCGCCCGCTTGTTTTGGGGCCTAAAGACCTACATCCGTACAACCCTACAGTGCACCACGGTTCTACAAACTTTGTGTCGTCCACAGTGCCGGTGCGCCATACATTTTCCCCTCTTCAATGTGTGTGTAAACGGTTGTGATGTGTGTCCGGCTGCCTGAACAAGCTGTCCATATCCCCACTGCTAGCAGTCGCTTCCACTCACCCACATAACACTTCCACATATGCACACACGCTGGTGCCGCCTTTCCTTCAGACTGCAGTGTGCACACTACCATTCTCCGTCGTGCACAGCAAGCCACTTTCGCCACCGTACAGCAGCAGCTGGCTGTGGTCATTGTGGTCACACTATGAAGCCGCATGGGGGGGGCCACCGCGGCTGCCAATGCGGGGGTGGGTCTGGAGGAGATTAAGGTGCACGGGCGGTGGAGGTCTGATGCGGTACTGGTCTACATCCGCCGGTCCGTTGCTGTGAGGCGGACAGTGGTGGAGCGTATGTGACGCGACTGGGTGAGGGGGATGTTTCGCTGGGTTAGGCGTGGGGCCAAAGTAACCCAAGCGAGGCCGTCGGCTGCCTGCGGGTTACCAATGCGGAAGAGCACGGTAGCCCGGAAGGGACGCACGAAGTAGCATGCGGGCTCTGGCAGGCAGGCTGGGCGTCTCTTATCCCCAACCATATGTCCACGTCCCCGGTGCCTTGTTCATGTTAGTTGTACGGTAACGAACGCGTTTTGGGTTTCTCGTCCCGGTTCTTGGTCTGGCTAGCTGCTCAGCCCGGATTCAAAATCTTATTTTAGGCATAGCCGAAAATGTGGTTTGAAGAGGGGCGTCAGAGCGGCGTCGTACGGTGCAGTTAGTTGGTTGTTGTTTTGAATTGCTATTTGATCGGCGGTGTTTAGTCTTGTCGAATTATCTTCCGGGCGATCTCGGACTCGGCTACTAGTTGATACGAGCCCTCTGTACCAGAACAGCTGCTAGCTGCCGCTGTTATTGTCCTTTGGTCAGCGGTGTGAATTTGACGTCCTTTTGTACCATACCATGCCACCAGTGCTGGGTGAGCAAAAGTGCTAAGGTGCGACGAACGCCAAAATGTCCCGTCTCTTCGTGCGTGCGCTGAACAAGTGCAAGACGATCAGGCGGTTTAGGAACTAACCGCCTACGGGAATCACTAAATATGCGGTATAGATTGCCACCTAGCATGCGATAGTGCCTGGTGCGGCGAATTACCCGACGTTGCTCATCGAGCAAAATGCCAGGCATGTGCGCGCCCGTGCGAATATAATGCATGCACATGTCGTCCTGCCAAATATCAGGAAACCGTTCGCCTGAAACAGCGACTTCTTCCTGTTCAGCTTGAGTAGCGGCGGCAAAGACAAGTGGCCAAGAAGCTACTACTTCAGAGTTAGAAATGGGAAACGCAAGACAGTGAACGGTTGATTGATCAGGAGGTTGAGAAACCGAAACTGCTGCTGCAATTTCATGCAACGAAACGTTACTCAAAACACGAATAATAGCAAGCATGCCACTAGTGCAAAATGCGTCAGGCGCAATGCCCAAGAGATAACGACGTGATTGCTCGTCTACCCCTGGTGCATAAGTGGCTCCAAGCTTATAGTCCATAGCACGTTCGCATTCAGACAAGGACAACGTGCCGTTATTGCCAGACAGAGAGTCATGGACGAGCCCCTGCAACGCCCGTACATTTGGACGACTCAAGCTAGGTGCAACACTGACCGGCTCACCTGGCTTATTGCACTGCAGATAGGGTCCCGACTCCGTGGACTGCGCCATAGCGACGGCGCGGCCGGGTGCCAGGATACTCTGCAGTGACTGATCCGACTCTGGGCGAATTACGGACATAACCGCTGCAAGCTGACTGCTGCTGGCCAGATTCGTCCAGTGAACTGACATGCGATGCGCAAAAGATCCAAATCTAGCTGCATCGACTACAACCGGATCACCTAATGCAGAAACTAAGCGATTCTGAGCTGCCAAAGCGTTCAACCAAGTTGCTTGAGGCTGCGTGCAAACAAACATAAAAGCTGACGTGCGACGCTGAATGCGCTGCAAAATATGCAAGATATTTAAGACGTGATCAGTGACGCAGACGCCAGGCGCTAAAGAACCAGGCTCCTTGCCGACGTCGTGCCAGCACCAACTGGCGAAAATGAACCACTGCGAACCATCACAAGCTCCTGCTGCAAGAAGAGCTCGCTCGTCCACCTTCTTAGGATCCAGTGGGAGATCCAACCATACACGCCGGTAAGCCTCGGGAGAAAACTGTCTGGGATATTCTGCGCTGAGACAATCCAGTCGCGCGGAAATTACCTTGGCTGCCTCAGAGTCAGGCTCCGATGAGAGATACCTGTCTACGCGATATCCGTTGCGGAGGCAAGCCTCTAGACCTGCACACATCCCACCTATAGGTTCATAAACTGTTACCCCCGACCCCAGAGCACGAGAAAAGAAAGCTCGGGCAGAAGGGTTAGTGTGGTTAGAAGGGAATAGGTGCGGTGAAATTCTGGCTGCTTCCTTGACCCAGCGAACCGCTTTAGCATGCAACTGTTCCCCTTCCTTCGAGACCACATCAGGCTCGTCATCCGGAGGCACATGCAGTGAATCGCAAGGCAAACCCAAACTACCGGCTAATAAAGAGTCAGGCAGTGGACAAAAGTCATCAGAAAATCCAGCAACGGGAGTGAATGAAGCAAGTGCTGTACACGAATTGATGCCCTCAACCCAAGACTGTGCAGTGAGTGCTGAGGTACGGCGTGTTTCACACAAGTCCGGATCCATGCGAGCCCCTGTGTTGTCAATGGTTGACGGGACCGGTTGCCTAGAGAGCAGGTCAGCATTTTGGTGCTTAAGACCCGGGCGATGCACAACCTCAAAGTCGTATTCCTGCATGATGAGTGCAAACCGTGCATACTGCCCCGTGAGCCCATCTGCACTCATGAGGTACGTTAGGGGTTGATGGTCAGTGACAAGAGTGAACTTGGGCCCACCAAGGAGGTGATGTCGGAACATTTTGACCGCCCAAACAGCAGCAAGCATCTCCCCTTTGTAGCTACTATAATTTTTTTCATGCTTATTAAGGGAACGACTAATGCACGCGCAGATGTACTCGTTACCCTGATCGTCCAGCTGGCCTAAAACAGCACCAATCCCATGGTTAGAGAAATCGGTGTGCAGGATCAGCGGGCGGGTGTAGTCTACACGGCGCAGAATAAGACCTTCCCTAGAAAAGACAGACTTGATGCTCGTGAAGGCCGCTTCCTGTTCAGGACCCCAAACCCAGGGTTGATCTTTCTTCAACAAAAGGGTGAGGTTGGCAGTTTGCGAGCTCATGTTAGGTATGTAACAACGATAATAATTGACAAAACCTAGATACGAGCGGAGTTCGGACACGTTGCGAGGGGGTTTTAGGGCCATGATCGCAGCTATCTTTGCATGGTGTGGACTGATGCCTTCGGCGCTTAAGTTGTGGCCTAGATACTCAATGACATCGGCACCAAAGATAGATTTATCAGGATGAGCCCGTAGACCACATGAATGCAGCGTGTCTAGAACCGCGGCGACGTGCTTTAAATGCTCTTCTGGGGTTGCGCTATAGATTAGCACGTCATCTATGTACGCACGAG